AAAAAAGGAAAGAAGCCCAGAAGTTTCTCTCAACGATTAGGTGAAAAGCCACCTCATAGGACCTCAGAGACTTCACCAAAAACTCGGGGTCATCTAACTGGATAGAAGCCAAAAAGTCCCGCCTGGCCCATCAGGTAGAAAAGAAGAGAACAAAAGAACTAAGAGGCTTTTGTGAGGCGTTTATACCAGGGGCAAACCTCTGTACCTGGCTCAAGTTTTTCTGTTTGTTATTTTGCCTTTTATTAAACCTGTTTTGTTCCTAACACTGCAGCAGAAGCCATCCTGCTTATTATTTGCCCCCAAGAGGAAATAGCTAAGCTATCCTTGGGTGTGTTAGGTTCCCTTTTGAGGGTTTATAAGACCTGGCCCAAGAAAAAGAAACCTAACACTCAACATCTGAAATAAGTAACAACACGCAATTACTGGAATTTTAAAGGAAATATGCAGTTAAATTACCAGCAGTTAATGGTTGCATTTGCCATCCCTCCAAGGGCGTGTAGGAAACCTGGACCGGACACTACAAGACATACTCCTGGTCTACACGGAAAATACAAAAAGAAAAAAACAGGATGAGAGAAAAGGAAAGTGATTACAGAGAACAACAAATAAATAATCAATAAAAATTAGTAAGGTGCTGAAATATAGAATATTAAAGTTTTACTCATGTCACCAAAACTCATGAATGGCTAGGAATTTGTACGAATGACTAAAGTTCCACATGGAAATCAGAAACTATGAAGCTGTATCAATCCAATTAGAAAAGCAAGTGAACAATTATGTGCCACCCACACAGAGGTGGGCAATATACACAGGCTTATCCTGACATAGCTCCTGACTTCCTCTATCACATTTGTTCTGCCATCTAATGTTCATATGCAATTTGGGAAACTCATGTTTGCAGTTTTCTCAACTGCACTTAATCAGCAGTTACCAATGAAGAAAGCTCACACTGGAAGAACTGTATATCTGATTCAACACAAATTTTACTGAAATTTAATTCAGGCAGAGACACTTGCTATTCCAGGTGATGAGATAAAAAATGGTAATTCTTAACTAGTGAGCATTTCTTAACAGCTTTGCACATTCTTTACATACCTGCCAGTCAAATATCCAACAGCAGATGCAGCATAACAGGCCTGTTGAAAATATTGGAGTTAATGATACTATTATTATTATTATTATGCATACATTTAATGATATTTTGTAAATAACTTTCAACAAAAAATACTAAAAATAAGCAGGTACAGATTCTTCCCTGACTCTAAGAGCTTAAATGTAAGTAAAAGCTCCATTTCACTCTTTCCATTATAAGATGTGTAATGTGAAAAATCTTAAGACTCTTCTCCACTTCTCTCCACAATTCACGTTCCTGTTGTTACAAGGCATTACATTAGGATTATTTGGGATTTGAAATAGAAAACAATCAACAACAACAACAACAACAAAAAAAACAACAAACAAACCAAACCAAAAAAAACCAAAAAAACCCCACAAAACAACGAGAACCAGGGAAGAAATAGAACAAAACATGAAATATCTGCTTTCCACTGCCTTCTGGATGAACATGGAAGAGAGACTTGCAAGAGAAAGTCAACAAGCAGAAATGCAGCCATTCTGAACTGTATTTCAGAAATCAAGCAAAAGGTTGAAATCTCACATTGGAGAGAATAATTAGATTATTTGGGATTGTCTTTTACAGGCTGAGCTGCTGAAATACACCTCACTCCACTTTGGTACCACACATTTAAAGAAAAATTATGTTTTGAAGAAAAAGCGACAAAAGTGACATCTACAACATTTGGCAGAGCTCATCAGCAGTGTTACAGCAGAACGTGTTTTTAAGCTATTCCTGTAGTGATATTAAACATTTGGATATAAATTTGACCTGGTAAAATGACAGTATGTGATCGAAAAGTTCACAGGTGACAACAGAACTCAAGAATTCATGTGTGACGTTGCCCATTCTCTCCTATTTTCATACTCCTGTCTTGAAATCAGTGAGTTCTAACACTTAATGGGAAAAATAACCCCTCATTTTGCAATATTTCATAATTTTTTTAAGTAAGCTTCTGGCCTTAGAACCTGCCTCTTTCATTTTTAAATAGAGTGGATTTGATTTTAATTATAATTGAGTACTCTGGTGGTAAGATGCCCACTTTGGTTCCAGCTGCCATTATTAAAGGGTTCTTTGAGCCCAATTCCCTTCACAGCTGCACTAACTCCAGGATATTGTATGCTCACAACTACCTTAGGATACAAATATCAAGAGATTGCTTTGAATATGTAGTGATAATTATTATTAAAGATTAAGAGCTAACATAAACAATGTGTTTTGTTAACAAGTAAACATATATTAAAGGGGGTTTTGAAATTTAGAACTGAGCTGGGAAATAAGTCTTCTAAACAACTGCAACAATTACTAATTACCTAAGGACAGATACAAAAACCACACGCCCTGTGAAGTTGCAACACAGTTTTCACTGTTCAAAGGGCACTTGGGTGCAAGTGAGGTGCTTCAGGCAAACTTACAGCGTGTTAAAGGCCACAGGAGAACAGCTTATGGGTATTGGTAGTGCTACTTTTAGCTCCATGCTTTCATCAGGTGATTCTATTCTGCACTTTTACGAGCTTTAGTGCTACTTTTAGCTCCATGCTTTCATCAGGTGTTTCTATTCTCCACTTTTACGAGCTTTTCACAGAATTATTGACGTTGGAAAAGACCTCCAAGATCACTGAGTCCAACCTGTGACCAATCATCATCTTGTCAACTGGAGCATGGCCCTAAGTGCCACATCCAGTCGTTTCTGAACACCTCCAGGGATGGTGACCCCACCACCATCCTGGGCAGAATAAGAACATAAGGATGCCAACCAACAAGTACAGTGCTTGATTATTATCTTATAATGAGATTTTATTGTGATTTAACTTGTTTATGGGCCCTATTTCTTATGAACATTACTAATTAAAATTTTATCACTTTTACAGGGAAATCCTTTTGCTACATCTGGCCTAGAAATGAGGTAGAAACTCAATGCTTGGGAAAAAAATCCCTTAATTTTCCATATATTATATACAGCTGCCTTCACCAAAAAAGGAGGCAGCTGTATAGACATCCTCCACAGCCAGACCACAGGACTGAGACATTTAAAACTATGACAAATATATATTGAGTATATCTTGAATATACTATATATGTATACTCTATATATAACCTTTCATCCTTTTCCAAGAAATTACTCTATTATTCACTGAGGATAAAGAACAAACCAAAACTCACTACAAGATGCAGCTTCATTCATCCTTTCCAACTCCCCAAAGAAATTGTGACATTTGGACCTTAAAACAGTCTTTGTGCTGTTTTTATTCTACTAACAAAAGCAGCTCACAATTAATCAGCAGAATGTTTTTTGCCTCCTTCATCTAGTAAAGACTAATAAATAGAACAGCATCTCGTTTGGCAGAGCAAAGCAATCTTCTCTGTTAATTACAGAGAGATGAGGAAATTAATTTTTATCATGTTAGCAACCACAGCTAAAACTAGAATATTTGCTAAATGGCCTACAGGAACATAAAGATTGTGCTGAATTCCCAGTTCTTCAAAGACTCAAATACACCTTTTAAATATGTTTGTATATGTTTGCCTCTCTCATATGTTACAGATTTTCTACAGAGACATGCATTCCTCTAAATTCTTGTATTCCAATATAACAATGTAAGGATCAGACAGCAAAAACATACAGCTCACAACCCCCTAATTTAGAAGAAGTACTGTAGCAATATTTTGTTGAGGACTGGGACAATCCTAAAGGTTATTAACTACACAAATTGAGGAAAACTGCCAACTGCTATAGATCAGGTATGGGAAGTTGGTCCCTCTGCCACCAGTTCAGCAGCCAGTTCCCCATCTTGTGCAGCAACCCTTCAAAACAAGATATAATCCCAAGGTTAACCTCAACCCCAGACTACCCAAGAAACTACTGAGATTAAAGAGTTGCTGCTGTGGGAAACCAAACAAATGCAGAACCAGCAGCACAGCACCACAATGCTGACGAGCCTGGCTCTTTAATTTGTGACACCTACACAATAAAGGTGAAATGTACAAAAATAAGAGAGTCTAAGTATATGTTCATGGTTGATTTTGAGCACCTGGAAGCATTATTACTTTCTATAGTTTGCTGTTCTGTGAGTTTTTGAAACACAGTTAAGGAAAAAAACCTAGAATTATTTAAATTGTCAGAATAACTTTATCAGTCAACAGGTAAACTTTCCTCTTTGGGCTCTTAAGAACACCACACAAACAGGGGAAAAAAAAGTAAAGGAGCAGGTAATAAAGTCCTAAAAAGAGCTAAAATACTACCAATTGGAGTAAGAATGATAATACTGGGAAGCATGTAGAGAGCTACAGAAAAACAAAAAGCCCTGGATGAGCATCTCAAAACCTGACAGACAATATCTGACAGTACATCACTTGAAGGAGGTAACTTAAATTTTTTTTTCTCCATCACATGCTGTCTTTAATTGTTTTTCCTGTCTCCTATCCTTGCTCCCTTATTGGAGAACAGCATTTTTAATTGAAAGAAGATGTAATTCCCTTAACAGAAAAGGAGGGGCCACTTTAAAATGGAAGTGGGGAAAGAAGGGCACAAAGAAACATTCAACCCAATGCACCAATGTTCTCTGTTATTCCAAAGTAACAGTGGCTGCTCCTGTATAGGTTCTTTAAAGAAAATTCAGAGACCACATTCTTTCTAGTAAGGAAACTGAAACTGGGTTTTATTCCATTGTAAAACAGTTAAGGAAAGGCTCAGTCCCACTACAGATATATACTTACAGCTTGCTCATTTCTCATTCCCACATACTTTATTCCAGCTGCCTGGGCTGCAATTGCAATTTCAGTGACTGGAATACCAACAATGCCAAACATGTATTCAATATTCTATAAAGAAAAAAGTTGAGAAAAGTCAGACTATTTTTTCCCAAAAGACAGCTTTAATAAGCACATGCCAAACAAAGATATGCTAACTACACAGGCAATCTAAAACTAAAATGTAACATATATAGTCACAGAGAAGCTCGCAGGTTACTGTGGAAACATCAGCTGATGTCTGCAGCCCAGCCCTCTGTGGTTGTGAAAGCCCTGGATTTTATTTTGGGAGTCTACAAGCAGTGGGACAAGGGTTCAGTGCCTCAGCCAACGTGTGTTTAGTGCTTTCCACTGAGCAATGCTTACCTGGGCCACCTCTGCTACAGCACTTTCCTGATTCTCAGTATGTCAGCTTCCTCTACTCTGAAAATGCCTCATGGCACCTTGTGTTTTCACACTTTCACAGAAAATTAAGGGCAAAAAGCCCCTAAGAAATGGTTGGGAGAAACACAGAGATAGAGAAGACTACGCTTGTCTGGATTACAAATTAACTATTTCTCCATGTTTCACAGGCCAAGGCCAAAGTCTTCTCCCACGACGCGTGCCAGGCCCGCAGCATCTCCAGTTCAGAGACAGCACAGAGTTTCCGTGGCTGGAGAGGCGCGGGAGGCACAGCCAGCTGCCACGGGCAGAGCCGCAGGTAACGGGACCGGCTGAGCTCGGGAACGGGGCACGCTCGGGAACGGGCAGGCCCGGGAATGGCACCAGGCCCTCCAGAAGGAGGGAACCGGTGTGGGCCTGGGGAACGCCGCCCGGGGGCCGGGCCGCTCCCGGGGTTGTGCGGCGGAACCTCCCTTCCTCTCCCTCCCTCCCTCGCTCCCACAGAGCGGCGGGGCGAGCCCTTTCCGTCCGCCCCGGGGTGAGCCCGGCCGCGCACATCCACTCGCTGCCGGCTCCCGGCCCGCGCTCTTACTTGCGCCCTGAGGGCCTGGGCGATGAGTTGCGCCCCGCTGACCGCCGCGCCCTCCATGTCCGCCCCGCCGCCCGCCTGCCCCGGGCTGGACCGGGGCGAAGGGCGCGCGCAGTGACTGACAGGCGGCTCGGCCAATCAGACAACCGAGGAGGCGGGCCAGAGGAACGCAACCCTGACCCCGTTGGCGAGTTGAGCAGGGCGGAGATCGGAACAGCTTCCTATTGGCCAGCGCGGGCAGCCAATCAGAGGCCGCGAGGCGCCGGCCCTGCAGCGTGAGGCTCGCGGCGCGCGGGGTCGGGATCGGGACTGGGAGCCGGACCCGGATCAGGATCAGGATCCGGCCGGGCCTTCCCGGGAGCGGGCCGGGCCGGGAGGGATCGCTGCGGGCCCGGCCGCGGCCCCGGTGGCCTCCGAGAGCCGCAGGGCCGCGCGGTACCCGTGCGGGGCTGCCAGAGGTGGCGGGCGCGCAGCGGGGCGGAGTGCGCGGGTTGTGTGAGGGCCGGTGCCACACACCCTCCCCAAATCCCGGCACAGGTGACAGCATGGCCTTGCCTCACGGCCCGCCTTGTCCAGCCAAACCACTGGTGACGGCAGCGCTCCATTCGCCCTGGCTCGCCAAACAACGAAAAAATATAAATAACAAAACGCAGATAACAAAAACCTTCACAAAACCTGCATTATAAAATTCTGTAATATAATGCAGCAAATAAAAGCAGTATACAGGAGGTATCAGTGGAAAACCCCTTGAATTTCACTATCTGTATTTTTAAAATATGTTGTATAATATACAGTGGCATGTCAGCAAACTCACAATCCATGGTTACCATTCAAGCTAAAAAAACATTTATTTTTTCATACCCCACTGAATAGTAGTCATTACTGTGTGTGTTACTATTATTACTGTTTATGTTAATATACTATATGTTGGGCATAGCTTAACATGCATTTACTATTAATCACTCAGGAGGACCCATACTAATGCTGTGCTACTTCTGTTATTTCTAGATTCTTCTGAGTGTAGAAGTGTGAAGAACAAGGGTATGTGTTGCTTTTCTCTGTGTATACATCCAGGTGTGGTGATAGGTGACAGATTTCTAATCTTCCAAAGTTGTTGAAAAGCAAGTGACTGGATGCTTTACTTCACAGTACACTGAGATCAGATGGTTCTGAAAAGGTAAATAGGAAAACAGGGGGAGACTGGGGAGACAGCTTGGCATCCAGACTTGGCCACCAGTCTTTTTATCCTTTGTGTGGAACTGTAGCTGGAATAATGTGACTGCATGGCAGTAATACTGCTATGAAATATTTATATTTGCGTGACATGATCCTGCTGAAGCTTGCCTGTCAGGCAAAAGACCACATAAATCATAGGAAAGTGACATAAAAAAGATAAAATTTTAAAGCATTTCAGGTAATGAAAATTTAAAGTCATGGCTCAGGTGAGGTGGCAGCTCTGTAGATCCTAAGCAAATTAACTTCTCTTCAAGGAAAGGATTTATGAGATGGTGTGACATCTTCTAGTAGTAAAAGCATCCAGAGTGTGGCAGAGACTCACTACTTGGAATCTCAACAGCCTAAGGGCTGAGTAAACCCTATTGGTATCCTTATTTTGGCTGGAAAGTTTAATACACCCAAGCCCAGCCTTGGGGCTTGGCATGGCTCTGTGTTGGAAGCAGTCCATGAGGGAGCAGAGTCCTGTTTAAGCTGTCAGACAGGGGAAAGGCTTTAGGGAGCACTCACACAAGTGCTCAGCCATCATCTGTAGGACTGGCAGTAATCACAACCCAAGGCTGGACTCAGAGGAATTATTTTAGTTATTTTAGTTGCCCCAGGTTCAGCCAGATGGGGTTGTGGAGTTGTGTGTTCAGTGCTAAACCTCTTGTGCATCTAAAGGAGCAAAAGATTCAGATTAATACTTTGGAGTGTTTCTGACCACCAGGAAATGAAACGTGATAGAAAAATAAGACCTCTCCAAGCATGTTTGTAAAATGCAACATTTTGTAGAGGGTCATTGCCTGGTTTTGTTTTTTTTTTAATTAGTGTTTTTGGCTTTTAAAAAAGGAACTTTTTCTAATGCATAGCAATTCCATCTTGTGATCTGAAACTCTCCAACTTTTTCCATCACTAATAATGATGAATTCTAATTACATCTTAGTTGACAACTTTATTAAGGAGCAGCTGGCCAGAACCCATTCCTGCCCTAAATAGGCATTTTGGTTTTGAAGGGGTGATAAGAAATAGAAAAGAGATTTTTGTCAGTGCAGTGCAGCACAGCTTGTTTATTTTCAGTATGTTCCTTAAATGTGAGAGGTTTCTACCCCTGAACTCCCTCCTCCTGCTACTGCTTTATATCTTCACATGTGCTTTGGTGTTTCAGTTGCAAAGCTGAGCTGCACAAGGAGGCCTCTTGTTGCTTTGACTTGGGCCCCTCGGACGAGGACACGAGGCTTGACTCCATGTTGATCAGAAGGCTGATTTATTATGATATATATTATACTAAAATGCTACATAACAACTATACTAAAAGAACAGAGAGAAGAAGATCAGAAGGCTACAAAGACAAGAATAGAATAGGAATGAATAACAAAAATCCTGTGACTGCTCACAGCCTTGGCACAGGTGGCTGTGATTGGTCACTGATTGAAAACAATCCACATGAACCAATGGAAGATTCACCTGTGGCACTCCACAGCAGCAGATAGTTATTGTTTACATTTCTTTCCTGAGGCTCTCAGCTCCTCAGGACAGGAAAAATCCTAGCAGAGGCTTTTTCACTAAAAATCCTGGCAACAGCCTCTCCATTCCTGGTGAGGATTGCCAAGTCACCCCCCCAAAAGTACCACATGTTTTCCTCAACAAGCAGAATAGCAAGGATAGCTTGTCATACATCACTTTTCAAAACTGTTTATGTAAATGAGTATCTTTAAGCCATCTGATTACAGAGAGGCCAAGGTTTTATTCTGTTTTCATCACACTTTAAATAAATTCACCCTTGAAGGCATGTATGTATGGACACACTGGCTAATTAAAGCTCAAGGAAATATGAATATGTAGTTGAGCTTAGCAGCATTGAACAGCTAAATTGCTCCTGTACCTTTAGAAGTGTTACTATTACATGTTAGACCTTTTGGCTGAGCTAACAATTCTTCTGCCTACCATGGGCACCAAGGTTATAATTTTGTTGTCCTACATAATGCTTTTTCCATTTGCTCTTTGTCAGATACTAAGCAGCTAGTGCTTAGAAAAAAAAAGCAGTATTGAGCATTGTTGTTAGCTGCTTTTCATTCTGGAGTTCAAGCAAGGAGATATTTTCAGTTAACTTACCATAGACTTTCTTTTTTTAGGTACAAAACTACATTTAATAGAACATGAATAAAAATAAGACTGTGATTAGTTTAGAATTGATCTTTTTTTCCTGCTGAGCTTTAGGGAAGTCTCTTCATGCATATGTCAGTCAGTCTGTATTTGCTTTGGAAAAATTCAGGGAGCTGTAGATCACAAAGACTGAAGGGCACTAAGAGGGTTTTAGAACTTTTTTTTTTTTTGGATACAAGGTCCCTAAGAGCAAATACAATTAAAAAAATCAGTAACTGAACTTAAAGCTATCAATGTATAGCACCAGTAATCTCTCCTGCACGCTCTTTCAGCTTCACTGATATTTGAGATTTAATTCCTTATGATACTACTGACACTGTGGTGACAGAGTTCTCATGTTGTGAGAATAATTCTGAATACAAAGGCATTTCTGTAGTCTTTCTGAAGTGTTGCACAACCATTGACTGTGTCAGTCCTTGCTCTAAGTCCTTTCCTAACTTGGGAAGTCAAAGGGTTACGTGGGGAGCCCATATTGCAGAGTACCCCATCCTTCCAGACTCAATAGTTCTTCATTTTTCCTAAGAAAAGCTAACTAATGCAAATTTTCTCAATTTTGTATAGACTTTTTGTTTTATTTTTGTTGCTATGAAAGCATTTTTAAACTTACTTATCTGCGTTGCGTGGGAGGAATGCAGATCTGAATTGCACTCAACATTTTTATAAATGCTCAAAAAAGCTGCACTGTAGGAGAAATATTTGCCTATTTCATATGTGGAGTTAGAATACAGTGAATTCATAATCCATTAGGAGAAGCATTTTTGTGATAGATGCAGAGGTATTGTCTAGTGTAATTCTCTTGGCAATTTTCTGTTTCAGTGTTGATAAAATAAGTCCTATTTCTGCTTGACTGCTAAATACAGTTTCCAAGTAATTTTAGGAAATGCTACTTTTAAATAAATCTCCCATCACTGAATGGGGAAGAACTGCAAATTTTTGTGTTTAAAAAAAGTTTAAAGCTGCTTTAAACTTTTCTCAAAGATGTTTTGATAAATGCTGAAATAATCTATAAATGAATGTTAATTATAAAGGGAAGCCAAGCAAGAAGATCACTAGAACTGTATATGAAGCTTGAATGCTTTTGAACAGGACATAGTTGTTTAAAGCACCAGTGTTGATGGATTTAAGTTTTAGAAACAACATGCACGTGGTCATTCAGGAACTTAAAAGCACCACACTGCTGAGAGCCTCAGTTACCATCCACACTTAATTGTAAATTCAAATTCCTGGCATGACATTTTTCTCAAGCTCCTTGGGTTTTTCTCCTCTAGATTTATGGCATCCACCATGGTGTCTCTGTGCTGGAAGCTGCCCATCTGCTTTCTCTTCTACCAAGTGGTCTCAGGAAGGGTGAGGAGGGAGGGGCACTACGTGGCGGCCGTGTACGAGCACGAGTCCATCCTGAGCCCCACCCCGGCGGCGCTGGTGGAGCGACGCTCCGCGCTGGAGCTCATGGGCAGGAACCTCGACATCTACGAGCAGCAAGTGCAGGCTGCTGCCAGGCAGGTATGCCCCGCTCCAGGCAGCACTGGTGTGTGCCCTGGGTATATATAGAGGAAGTGCTATTTGAAGATAATCTTTCACATTTGTGTTCCCAGGCAACTAAAGCTGTATTTATATCCATAACTATGGTCTGGGTTCTCAGACCATCTGACCTGCCAGCAGCTCTGAAAAAGAATCAGGCCAATTAGCATCCCGCCTGACTCGGGCTATTCCAAGCTTGGAAAAACACGCCCATCATTATTTAGTAAAGGGAAATCAGTTTTCTATTTTGGTCTGAATACCTCGCTCCTTTCTCTTTTCTTAAATGGAAGGGTTTCCTTGAAAGTTTGTCTTGCTGGCAGCTGTCTTGGGTTTGGTTTTATTCCAGTGCTCTCAATGGAAATTCTTGAATGTTTCTAAAAACTAAGGAAGTCAGATGCTTTGGAAATAAATGTTCTGCTTTTAACAACTTTGTGGAACTAAAATTTTCCATTCCTTTCTCCTACCCACCATGGTATGGTTCTCAGTCTAAATATATTTAGAAGAGAGAGACTAGTATTGCCAGCTGTTGTTAGGCACAGCCCTCTTTCCTGCCCTCCCAAGAAAACCCAGGCTGGTTCTAGTGACAGGAAGCAAGTGTTACTGGCCCTACACAGAGAAGAACTGGCTTGCAATTTTCAGAGATCTGTTGTTCTGGGAGAGAATAATTACTATTTTTATATAATTTGAAAACTCAATATTATATTTTTTGAGAAGTTCAGATGATTGGGCAGAAGCATAATAGCAATTTTTATGCAGCCCTGCACCCAAGACACAAATTATCCCAAAGCCATCACATAGATAAAACGTTTGAGCTGACTTTTGAAAACTCACAGGAATTTGAGTGACTGGTGCTGTGTCTGATTTAAGAAGAATCCACCTCATTTTTAGGAACAGTTCAGACCTTCCTGAATTTCAGGCAGAGCCTCTGGCATCGCTGCATTTTTACCAGACTGTGCACTGCTTCCACAGTGAAGCTGTTTCTGAAATCAAGACTGCCAATACCCTGTCCAACCCTATACTATAATGGAATTTAGAAAAGTCTCTTCATCCATGTGTCTGTCAGTCTGTATTTGCTTTGGAAGAATTCAGGGAGCTGTAGATCACCCAATACCTAATTAATTAGGTGATGCTGCAGCTTTGACAAAGTGTCAATATATGTAACTATGTAAATAGCATAATTCTGATAAAAAATTAAGACAAGTTTTAACATCATCAGTGTTTAACATGAATGATGACATTCTCATAACTTGTGTGAAGGGAGGATATCTTTGGTAAGAAATTGGATGCAGTATGCTCTTATTTGCATGCCCTTAAAATAATGTCAAATGCATTATTTTTCAAGATAAAGGTATGTGTCAGGTTAAATAAGTTTTTTTTATACACACAGTTACACACCTACTACATGGTTACACCTACTATGAAGTTGAAGGAAAGACATCTTCAAGCTACATTATTGGCAAAACATACTTGGGTTATCCTTAACTCTCTTTAGTTCTTTTTACCTATGAGATCCCCCCTTTTCCTTTGCTTTGCCTACAAAACATGTCTTTGTTTTACATACAGGGAGCCCAGATCATTGTTTTTCCTGAAGATGGAATCCATGGCTTCAACTTCACCAGAAGCTCCATTTACCCTTACTTGGATTTCATTCCGCATTCAGGCTCTGGGAAGTGGAATCCCTGCAGAGAGCCCTATTTGTACAATGACACAGAGGTAAATGCAGGGCTGGGATAACTGAATGCTCCAAGTGGGAAGTAGTTCAAGTTGGTTTGCTTAGGGAAGTAAGCAAGAAGTTTAACAACCCCTATTACCAGATTCTGTTTTCATGGATGCTCAAGCTCTGCCAGATTCATTCTTAGCAGAGGAGGGTTTAGATCCACACATACAAGGAGATCAGTTGTGCATGAACCATCTGGATTTGTCATCTCCTCCTCCCCAACCTCTGAAATGGTAACTGCTCTCTCATAAGATCTGTGTGGTTTTAGTTTGAGCAACATAGTTTTAGGTAAGACAAGACAGTAGTAGCTTCCCTTTTGGTGCATTCTTGTTATTTGGCTTTAATGACTTAATGACATCACAGCATTCTGACTCAGCAATCATTGTCAAATCATTAGCACAAGTAACAGGACTTACCTGCTACAACGTAATAGAAGTCACAGCTTGGCACAGACCAAGTGTGGCTACATAAGGTATGACCTGGATGTTACAAAAATAGTATTGTCACTGACTGTTCTGGACCTGAACTGAAAATAACCATGCTCAGTAAATACAGACTGCTAATTCTGTAATTAATATAATGGACCTGAACTGAAAATAACCATGCTCAGTAAATACAGACTGCTAATTCTTTCAGTAATCAATATAAAGAAAGAAATCATGCCTGTACCTAGTGAGCAGGATTTGTGTGAGAACTTGAATCACCGTTGTAAACAATGATCTGTTTGAATCTTTGTTAGCAATGATCATGGCCAAGCAAGCAAGAACTAAGTTTGGCATTCAGATGCTGTTTGGAGATTGCAGTAATGTCAGTCTTTGGGACAGCACTCTGTGTTATGGAAGAAATATCGCAGTAATACTGTGGTGTGCAGTGTTTTCTATTTCTTTGCTGAAATATGCAAGGTCTATCCCTTTCCATCTCTGCTTTTCTAAGTCGTAGGTAGTAATTGCTTTTTTAAAATTTATAGTAAAAACATGCAGGTGCAGATGATCATTATTGGACATTTGCTGTTCTAAAGGCACACACAGGTCAGTTGTGCTGCCTTGGCAGAGTTTTCAGTTGACATACAGTATTTTAAAGGCATTGGTGCTCCTAAAAGTCACAAGTTTCTAAAAATTAGCACCCTATAAATAGATTTATTTTCTTACTTCCTTCTGAGGAAATAAAACCTAGACAATTTTTTTCAGAGCTGTTTTAAAATAAACATCTGAAATAACTTTCTGCCTCCAAAGCTACTGGTTCCAGTAGCTCTTGTCACGAAATCATCAGTGCTTTTAAATTTCACAGATATGGTTAAATGTGTTCAATCTTGAATTCCCAAAATAATATTAAATTAGTCATAGGTGCTTAAGTAAAACTTACTCCAGCACATTCTGAAGCGCTCACATTTGTCCATCCTGTTCTGCAGGTGCTTCAGCGCCTGAGCTGCATGGCTCTGAAGAACAAGATATTCCTTGTGGCCAACCTGGGCACCAAGCAGCCGTGCGAGCGCGCGGAGCCGCGGTGCCCGCCGGACGGGCGGTTCCAGTTCAACACCAACGTGGCGCTGGCCGCCGACGGCGCGCTGCTGGCCGCCTATCGCAAACACAACCTGTACTTCGAGAACGCCTTCGACACCCCTGCCGAGCCAGAGCACGCGTTCTTTGACACCCCCTTTGCTGGCAAGTTTGGCATGTTCACCTGCTTCGATATACTCTTTTTTGAGCCTGCAGTGAGCCTCATCAGACAATACAATTTGAAGCAAATCGTTTATCCAACTGCCTGGATGAACCAGCTCCCGCTTTTGTCTGCTGTAGAGTTTCAACAAGCTTTTTCAACAGCTTTCAATGTCAATATTTTAGCAGCCAACATCCACCACCCTACCTTGGGCATGACAGGGAGTGGCATATACACTCCAGTCAAATCATTCATCTATCACAACATGGAAAGTTATGGTGGCAAGCTCATAGTAGCAGAAATTCCTGTAATTACTGCAGATTATAAAACTAATTTAGAGAGTAACGAAAGATTTAGAGAGAACTTACATGACTCATGCAGGACTTTTACAAGCACCTCACTGGATGATGAAGTTTGCTTTAAGGAGCAAGAGACTCCTGGCAGAGTATCTGAAAAAGGAAAGGAACAGTCACCTCCTTCCTTTTATGCAGAAATGATGTATGACAACTTCACTTTTGTTCCGTTATGGGGGGAAAAGGGAGAGCTCCAGGTTTGTGCCAATAGCCTTTGCTGTTACTTAAACTATCGCAGAGCTGTTCTGAGTGATGAGTTATATGCTTTGGGAGTTTTTGATGGGCTCCACACAGTGCATGGCACATACTATGTCCAGGCCTGTGCCTTGGTGAAGTGTGGTGGTCTCAGCTTTAGCACTTGTGGACAGGAGGTCACGGATGCCACTGCTCTGATAGATTTCCAGCTATGGGGAAATATGAGCACCCCTTACATCTTTCCTTTGCTGCTGACATCTGGTATTACCTTGGACTTTGCTGATCACATGGGCTGGAAAAACAACCACTATTTCCTCAGCAAAAATAGAACATCTGCTGGCCTCCTGACAGCTGCTCTCTATGGACGATGGTATGAAAAGGACTAGCACAGATACTTGACTGAGTCAGAAAGCAACTGCCCATATGTTCAGAGTATGTGTCTTAAGAGAAATTGTTAAATATCCGTATTTGCTAGAGGTTCAGGTGTGTTTGTCCCATCACTGCCCGATGAGGTCCCACATTTGAAATAATGGCTGTTAGTACAGTCTGTACTCTGGTAGCTTATGTCCTACCAGGAGTGAGAGAACTGCCTTGCAAAGGTAAAAGCTTGCTGTGATCTGGTAAGATGATTTATACCAGAAAATAACACTTCTCATTTCAACTGAATTTGTTCCTTTTAATTTAATCCTTTGGTTTTTGGGGGCCCTGGCTGGTAGTGAGGAAATTAATAGAATGGAAAACTACTGCAAGAGAAAAACCCAAACAAAAAAAATAAAGGGTATTGTGCATAACATGGACAAAAACATGTAGGTATACATACAGTTGGCTTTTATTTGCTGAAGTTCTCATCTCTGGTTAAGGTGCCATGATTGTTTTTTTTCTTAGAGTCAAAAACTTCCAGCTGAAATCATTACCATGGACTGGCCACTCGGGTATCTATAATCCTGTTACACATTTAACTGAATGTTACAGTTGAAAACATCTACAGAATGGCTAATCTGAGAAACAGGGTATCAGTGATTGTGAAAAACCAGACTGCAGGAAGACACAATTCAGAAGAAATTATGTTCAAAGAAAACATCAGCATTGATTATCAGTGGCCATGTTATGTACTGTTTGAGTACTTTAACTTTCCCTGTTTAAAAGAACAGTCATTTTAAGACTGTTTTGACTTTAAGACATCTTACACACTGCTCATGAATTTATTCAAGAGGAGTTATGAAAAGCACATAATAAGCTGTGGGACAGCAAGGATTTTGCATCAATGCTGCATGTGCCAGATGGCAGGTTTGTGCTGCTCAGTAAAACACACCATTTTTTTCCAGAGCAATAACTAGATTAAGTGCTATAGCTGTTCTACTGCAGTGAAGAAGCTGGGAAGAGAATATTCAAACGTTATTAATTTGGGGTTACATTCAGACAAGTTAATGTATTCTCAAGCATTATCATTTTATGGGGTCTTATTGGCTATTATGACTTCATCTGGGTAATGGCTGTTGAGTAATGGAATAAACACAACTGTTCCTTTGGTGAGTCCTTGTGTTCCAGCTGCTCTGTTACTCAGGCTGAGGAGCAGAGCACAGGAGACAGGAGAGCTCAGAGTCTCTTTGTTTTGGTGGTCTGAGTTGGTTCAAACTGAAACCACCACAGCTACAAGGATGAGTCCTGAGAGGTGCTCAATCAGCTCCTGCTTCAAATGCTTCAAAAAACCCTTTCTGGTTTCAGAAAGCAAAACAACCAAAAAACTGCTGAATTTCTGCCTTAGGGTTTAGTGTATGCTTATGGAAGATCTTGGGCTCTGTCAGTCTGTATCCCTGTGAACCAGGCCCTTGTTGAACACCAGCAGCATGCCAGTTTTTTTTATCCTGCAGCATATATTGGACAGAAATATGGAGAGGGGAATATCTGTATCTCATTAGGCATAAACTTGCTGCTATAAAAGTAGGCCATTCCACCACAGGGTTATTAAAGATCATTAATTCTTTGGCACCCATACCATGTTCTTGCTGAATGCTGCACGATTCCAGGACGTACGGGGTAGAACAGCAAAGCATTTGCAGTGCTTGGTGGTGCTGCTGCTTCCAGCACCACATGACCAAGTCTGAAAGAATGGAACAATGAACAACTGGAGATTTCAGCTCTCAGGACCTTGACTTTGGAGGCTGAAAAACATGCAGCTTCATGCACTAAAATACTCCTTGGGATTTAGTTCCAGAGCAGACCATTGTCACAGTAAGTCAGGCTAAACAAATAAATAGCTTTACACATATTTGCTATGCTTAAGAAAAGAAGAGGTACTTACCTGTAAAATACTTGCAAAGTGTATTCCAAAGAGCTATTCCAAATCTGGGTATGTTAAAATTGTTAGAAGAAGACCTCAGCCCTACTAGAGTTTGCATGAGGGATGTTCCTGTCCCCTCCCTGAGCAGAGCAGGCAGTGTCAGAGAGTGTTCTCATACCTTGTTCCCTTCACCCAAAACAGCTGCCTTCAGCAAAGAGTCACTGGAAAGGTTGAACAGGCAGACTAGACACAATGGATTAGCAGGAAGTATCTACTCCTACCTCCCACCCTGATCCTTGAGTAACAGCAGGTGTTCTGTCTGACCTGGGGTGACCAGCAGCAACCTGCAACACCCCCACACATTGGTGGCTTCTGGAAGTGTGTGCTGGAGCAGCAATCCCAGCACTGCTCTGTTCCCAAACAAGCCTGCAGTCTTTTGGGTGAAGCTACTTACCACATGCTGAGGAGAAGCCTTCAGCAAAGCTGATGTTCATTAGTTACACACTGTAATGCATCCCATCATCTAATGGATATGGAGTTTCATTAAAGCTTCCCAAGCCATTCCTGTCTGAGAGTGGAACAAAACCAAACCAGGATGCAAGGATTTTTGACATAGAGGAAGTAGAGCTGAAATCTAGAGCAGCTTTAAATCACTCAGTCTGTGGACCAAAGTGAAACCAGGATTTGGAATTTGTGCTGAGACTAAAGAAATTTCCTCTCTGAGGCAGCAGGGAATGGTGTCATTAAAGAACACTGCTCCTGGGAAGGATAACAACCATAAAAACTCTCTGTCCAGGTTGGAGTAACAGCACATGAGTCCAAGGGGTTGGAAGGTTCCTCATAAGGGATCTGCTGCTTCAGGATTCACAGTGATTTTTCCAGGTGGATGTCGGGATACTCTCCTTACTGTAAGAGAAACAGAAAGCAGATCAAAGGAACAGCTGGAAAACAACCTTGGAGCTGAGCTATCAAGAGACTTGGGAAGAGGCTGAGGTGACACAATCTGCTCAAATCAGAGACCTACACAAGGCCCAGCTGGGCACAAGCTCCTTGAGGCAGATCTCAGCCAGTGAAATGAAAACCCCAAATACTCACAGGCTGAACTGAATTATCACTAACAAGTTTTTAAAAGTCATCAAAAATGAAAATACTTGGGAGAGTCACTTGTGCTCTTTTTCCCTGCCCTGGGAGAGCAGGTGTGGGCAACATAGGTCAGAAATCAGAGATAATAGTGGGAACCACAACAAATGAAACAAACTCTTGATAGAAGAGATTAGAAAGGTTGAATAATTAAGACTTTAATAGATTAGGAAGATTTTTAAGATTTTTAGAAAATTATGCAGACAGTTTGAGTAACAAAGTTTGGCAAGGGACAGGAAATACATGACAGGATACATGAATCACTAGACTTTGCTATAAAACTATTTAAGCTATCTAATCTATTCTTTTAACATAGAACACCTGAGATGTCAGACTTATGTCAGATCCCAGGTACAGAGAAGAAACCCTGCAAGTCTGTCCTTTGACAAGACTTCAAAGCAGGTTTTGTTTTGTTCTGTTGTAAACCTGAATAGCAAGAGTTCTGAGCTGCATCTATTGCAATTTTAATTAAAAAGATTGTAAGGTGTTTTTTTCCTCTTTAAATATTTAGTGACACCATCAACATGAAGACAATTTGAAAGGCTCTTTAAGTTCTCTATTATTCAACTATGTTTACAGTTACATGGGGGAACACTGCAAGATCTTTTTCCCAACCTCAGCTTGAAAATTGCCAAAACATAGCATAGAATGGAGTGAGCTAAATTTATCCTAATGTAATATAACACACAGCACACCAGGGAAGCAGGGATAATTTAAATACTGCTTTATTTGAAGACAAATAGTGTGCTAAAGAGACTGGGATACCAGGTTGGAAATAGCTGCAAGAAATCTCCAAGTCCTGTAAGCAGGGACAGTCATCTTTCCCTGTCAGGAAAGTTCAGTTGTGAGATGAGCTGTAGAATTTGAAAATTTTAGTCACATTTATAACTTGTCTTCCCCCAGGAAAGGAAACCAAAAGAGTCTTGTGATCTTGCTGCCTCTAGATGCCTGAAAAACTGAACAAAATGCTCTTTCCAGACCATTTTGCTCTCAGTAGGTCTGAGAGGGAACACAGATCAGGCTGGAAGCCTGGGTGACATTCACCATGTCCAGCCAAGCATTTCCTTCTCCTGTTAAGCAGTAAAATGAAGAGATTTTGTGGTAAGGCTTACAGATTCTCATAAATACAATAACAGGATGGTTCTTAAGAATAGCCAGTTGTTTCTTCATTAAAATTAATGCACAGTGATACCTTTGCACTTAACATATGAAAACACATGGATATTAGGGTGAGAGAAGGACTCCAGAAAAAGCAAAGGCCAATGCTATCAGCTAACAAAGATGCCTCTGCTGTGTCTCTTCTCATTTCAGAGGCTATGACTGGAAAGAATCCACTAAGATTACGGAAGCCCAACTCCTGGCCCTGCACTTGATAATCCCAAAGATCACACCACATTCCCAAGAGCATTTCCACCTCAGGTTTCAGTCTGTAAAGTCTGGAACCCCATGTTTTATAAATTCTTATCCTGTCTGATTCAGAGTCACAGCTACACATTTATATACAAAAAAAAAAAGTTTTCCATCCCAATCAAAATTCTACTCCAACTGTCCTGCCAGCTTCTGCAGTATATTAAAGAGGATTATAAGGAAATCATCACACATCTCTGAGATTACTCCAAGAGGCAGTAATTATCAGCCTTGGATTTAAGGATTTGTATGAATTGGCTTGACCAGCTTTAAGAATTTAAATACTTACTTTTTTGTGATATTAATATCAATTTTACAAAGTTTGAATTCAGACCTATGGAAGTTGTGTTAGAAGTTTAAACTACTTATGAGGAGATTAAAAAATACCCTTCTCTCCAAAGTCTAGATAGTCTGATTCCAACAGGACTGGATTATCAGAAGTTACTGTCAGGGGGAATCAATGCTTTTTAACAAGAAGTGTGATGGCACTTCTTCTGTGGATACATACCATCAGCACAGGCCCAGTGCAAAGTTGTGGGAGATGAGGAAGATCCTCCTGCTGCTCCTGCAGCTGTAGCCAGGGGAGCCCCGGGAGCTCCCTCACCTGCCCTGGGTACACAGAGCCAGAGCACGACCTCCAGTTCTGCAGAACTGCTGTTTCCATAAACATTTACCCTTTTCATTTAGCCTTTAATTTTTAAGATGTGAACTTCACTGATCCAAACATGGAATTGAGTAGTATGGGCTCCCTGCAGACATCTAGCACTGTTAAAAATGTCCCCTGACTGTGACAAACTTCTCGTAAGTCATGTTAGCCTGTTCTTTGGGCAGCACTCACTGACACTTCCCATCTCTCTACATGCTGATCCTCTCACCCAGTTAAGCATCAACAACAGAAAGATCACCACACTTATTTTTTTTTTTTAATTTTTTTTTTTTTTTTTGCAAAAGAGAGCCTGAATTATCCAAATACTTGTGTTATCCCCAGCCAACTGCATTTAATGAACATTCTTCTTTTTTTTTTAACAGTAGCTATAAATAGAGCATGTTATTCTGGATTACTATGGTAGTTGTTGTGTTTAAATGGGTACAATCTGGGCAAGGCAGGATGGCCAATTCTTCTCATAAACCAGAATTAATTGGGTTGGAGAATCTGTAAACATTATCTCATACTCCTTTTTAGTCATCTTCCCTACAGTTTAGGTAACAGCTTTGGGATCTTCAGTGCTCCTTTTAACATCTGTGTAGATGTTAAAAGGAGCAAAACTTTGAAGAATTAATTTTTAAATATTAACTTCTTTTTCAACCAAACATTTGTTAATTCTTTAGCCTGGTAGCCAAACCCAGAACATAGACAAGTCAGAATTTTAAACAAAATTACCAGAAAAAAACTCCCAACAATTGCAACCAATCAAAGTTTAAAAAGTGCCTAGAATAAAAACTCTGACTGTTCCACATATATTTCTACAACTATTTTGGAGACACCTAAGCATGGGAGGCAATAAAAACTTACAGGAGGAAATACACAGCAGGACACAGATATTTTATATAGAATTACACAAAAAATCTCCTCAACTGTGGTAGGGTCACTCTGATGGGGAGACACACTGACTCTTCATCTTATCAGCATCCAGCATTTATCCTGCAACATGACTCTCTAAAAGTAACAGCTCAGCCTATGAGGTTAATACTGACTTGGCATTTC